AGCACTGATTCTGATTTCCGATTGATATGATTAATGAAGGCTTGCATTAGAATCGGAACCATTCCTCCTTTTCTGAAGCGATGTTTGTTGTTGTATGAGTTATCCCTGTGTTGCGAAACATTTAAGAAATATTAAATCAGCCCTCTCTCAATAAATTTCCAGAACTTTGTCATCAATCGGACCATGAGGATTTGACTTACTTCCAAATATGCAGAGGGCGACCGCTTGAATCAGTTTTCTGTAGCTCACAAAGTGCCAAAATTAGAGAGCAGCTCCGTACTACCAAATGACTATCCTCGCTGAATTCGGACACTACTTGACGAACCAGATCGCACCCGCCCAGAGATCCAATCTTTTCCTGGTTTTCTCGATAATTCGTCGCAAGAGCTATCAAGCAGCGCAAAGTTGACTCCACTACAGCAGTGTCATTAGAGAAGCCTTTTAATAGTTTGACAGTATGTCCACACATTTTGAGGTTCCCAGCATGACGTTGATTATTAGGATTGCCTTCAAGAAGGGCAGTAACAGCCACAAGCCATTGTACCACGTCAGAAGAATCGCTGGAGAAGTCAGGAAGCACTTGCAACAACAAATTAAGTCCATCTGCCTGCTGAAGCCTCTTCTGATTATCTGAATGAGCCGTAGCAAGATCTGACATCAATTGGACTCCTTGACGTAGTAAAGACATGTCAGGATACCTTAGTGGTTGATCTTCACGCCCCATTGAGTCACCCGCAGGTCCTATCCCTGATATTCGAAGCCTCTGCACGACAACCCAACAACCATTAACACCTCCAATCTTCGACTGAGCTGCTGGATCATTCGCACATAAGACAGAAAGGACCATCATGATAATGCATGCTCGCTCTCCGAATACTAATCGATCCGATTCGAGCAGATGAGATAAGAATGCATAGAAGGAGACAGTGCAATCTTTGTCTGTTGAAAGATGAATCATTTGAGCTCCTGCACAGGAAGCATTTTGTTCATGATCCTGGACAAGATTTGAGAGCGCCATTAAGGCGATGTCTAGTGCCACCCAGTCCTCCGGATCCTTTTCAATACACTTAATAAGAAGAGCGACACAATCTCGCTGACCAAGCTCATGGCGGTTTTCTTGACAATCATACGCAAGATCAGCTGTCGCTTGCAGCGCCTCCCATTTGCTGAATCCTTTTCGCAAGCAGTCGCATATCATCTCGCATGCTCCATTCCGGCGTAGCAGGGCCTGATTATCCTTCTCATGAATCGCTAACTGCCCTAGTACTCGACAGCAAATTTCAAGAACTGGTACATCTTCCAACTCCAAACTCTGCTTCATACTGTTGCAGACTACCTGACACCAATCGGGTCCTGTAATTGAGGAATCCATCTCATTGGATGTGAGAAAACACGCCATGGCTTTTAGACCTGGTCCGTAAATCTCAGGGTTACGTGGGTAAGTTTGTAGCATTTTTAAAATGAAGCCACACGCTCCCGCGTTTCGTAGCGCAGGGTGGCTTCTTGTGTTAAGACCCTCGATAGGATCGTACGTGAGCGCAAATATGACATCAAGTCCCACGGATACAACATCCATAAACCCCTCGTGGCGCCACAAAGTCGACATCAAGATCTCGGCTTTATTTCCTTCCAAGAGCCGGGTTTGATTTTCTCTTTGGTTCTCGGCCATGGTATATACAGCCGTAAGAGCGACCTGTTAAGCCACACAAATATTCGACCGAGGATAAAAAAGGCAGAGCCGTGCCATATGAAAATCTACTAAACTTTGAATTTTAATGCCCCCCTCATGCATTACCACATTACCTACCAGTAAGAATACTTCGTCATCTTGGTACTGATTAAACGCATCCATGACTTTACTGCACATGCCAACACCACCAAATCGCAATCTATTTTCTGGATTGTCGATAGCCATTTTCATGACAGCATCCAGAGCCGCATATATAACGTCACGATCTTGCGAGTAACGATCTATCACTTCAGCAAGTAGCTCACACGCACCCTTTCCCCCCCGCTGAACCTCAGCTCCCTCGCCAATGCCTAGCAGGTCCTGACCGAGCTTGTTATCGCAAGACAAAGACATAATAGCGTCTGCCGCACTCATAGCAACTGACGCCTGTCCCATAAACCGTTGCAACGCATTCAGCACAGCTGCTGGCGCCTTGGCAAGACAAAGCTGCCTCTGTATCTGTTTATTTGAAAGAGACAACGAGTATATCGCACCACATCCGCGAGTCTGCACTTCAATATCCTCGCTGAATGTTAACATTCCCTCCACGATCCTTTGGCATACGCCAAAAGACGACAGACGCTCTTGTGTTTCTCTATCGGAGAAAGCCAGAACGAATATTGCAGCACAACAAGCGGCGAGCACGCTGGGATCTGAGGAATGAATGTCAAGAGCATTCGCTACGAGCTCAGCTGCCCCAATTTCTATCAAATGCCTATGAAATTCTGCATTCTGCCAGCCTTTAAAGACGATAAATCGACAACCACGAATTTGAGCAGCAACGTTGTGAGGATACTTCTTCATTTCCCCAATCACCGGGTCTTTCGCGTCTCGTCGGCACAAGGGACAAGTCTCATGCTTCTCCAGCCATTTATCAATGCACACTTTATGAGTTTGGGTATCATGTTTACCTATATGTTGAAAAGCAAGAGCTCATGAGTAACGCGGATGAACGCAAAACTGCTAATTTCGTACTCACAGTCGAATAGGTTAAAGCAGGGCTCGTCGTCCGGAATTGTGTCAAGACAGATACAGCAAAACTTCAGAGATAATGTCTTTCCCCTTACACGGCCCGTGATGTCGGCATTGGCACCTGAAGATGCCCGGCGCGCCCTGTCGGAGGCACTAAGTCGTCTAGTATGACCTTTTGAGAACCAAGAAGAAAAAGGGGGGAGCAAGAGGCGAGTGATGTACTATTAAATGAAAAGTAAAATACTGATTTGAAACAATAATAAGCAGAGGCTGGAGCTGAGCATGAAGAGCTCCACAGAGACAGCTACTCATAAATCGCTCATCACCCCTAGCCAAATCCTCAATTGTAGCTTATAATCGTTGCCACTTACCTGAGGCGCCCCTGTACAGCTCAAGCCCTGCAAACACTAAGGCAGGTGTTACCCAAATCCATCCACCCTGTATTGACATTTCAGATAATGCGCGTGAAGCATTTTTTTACAAAGACAAAATTATCCAACGACGCGTTGGCCTCACCATAGCCGCCATGCCCAATCCAAAAGCTAGTAGAGGAAGCGGCAAGGCCGCGCGGACAAAGGATGAGGTAATTCCAATATCTGAGTCTCGATGTGTTCCATTGGAGGGTAGATGCGCGGCAAAGTGTACGTCCCGCAGTTGGAAGGACACTGAAGACCGTCGACGATTTGCCATGTACTCCTTGCTTCTAAAAATGATTGACGAGTTGCGGGGGACGAAATGCTTCTTTTTCAAACTAAACTTATTATAAATAATTTCTGTATATAGAGGAAAAGAACATGCATAATTGTCATTAGGCTTTCAGTCCGTGGCACCAACCCGACGATCCCGCTAGGACTGCCTCCATAGTTGAAGCTGACGCCAGTGCGAGCTTCTTCCTTCTTCTTCGCCGCCTCGCCCACTCTCCCGCCTTCCCGCCTTCCACGCTTTTCCTAGCACAAGGGCCCCACGGCCTCCATGAACTCATCCACTTCAATCCTATCTCTCCAATCATCCCCATGAATATAGGTATGGCGCCGTCCAGAAAACAGCAGATTTTGCCATTCGCATTTGAATCTTCCACGAGCAACACATCTGGTAGCGCTTCATCACCAACAGAGAAGACAGGTTCCATAAGGTAAGTCAGGTCCACTTGGAAAGCATATCACGGTGTGACGTGTCGTTCTGTGCAGCATACTCTCTGCATTTACCTTACTGAACAGTACATGCCCTATTATCATCAACTTTGACATTGATGAATGGATTGAAGCAGAAACTGAGTAGGAGGCATGGTGGCGATGGATACTACGTGCACGCGTACGAACTATTCCCTCGCTCTCTTAGGAAGCAAATAAGAACCTAGTGCATGTGCATGCTACAGCTTTCTCATTTTGCTGCAAAACTCTATATGCGTTCTTAAAATTGCAAGGAATTTCTTCAAAAGAGGACCCAGCAAGGGTTTGGACTTCGCAGCCCGTTGTAAGAATCAATATGAAGATGCTCGGCCAAAAGACTCAAAGGAGTTTAACGGAGAGACTACAGGAACAGTGGAATGCGGCTCTGAAGAAATGAAAGTGGCGAATTGTGACATGTTAGCTGCCCACGAGATAACGATCTCAAATTCAGCAGAAAGCGAACGACGAAGCAAAAAAGCTGAGGATAAGGTAGTAATTTGCGCTCCCACGCCAGCAGCAAATATTGAGGTGAAAGACATTCAAAGCAAAGATATTCGAGCAACGTCTACCGACAATAATGATGGCATTAACAAGAAACCAAAAAAGCGCCTTCGCAGGTTAGTCGATGAGGATGAGGAGTCGGATGACGATCTTCGCCTTATAAACGACAACCTCCAATATGCTCGTGCGGCACTTGAGGTGGTAGCTGAGCATTGCGGAGTTAAACACTCCACTTCAGATGGGACGACGGCCGGTGGAATAGAGCATGCGAAGAAAATGGCGGCGACGGAGGGGAAAATGGGCGGCGACGATCATAATACCAGCGATGGTGAGAATGAAGATAGCGCGGAGGAGGGTAAGGTCGACAAAAATGGGCAAAATGGATCATTTGGAGATGAGAATGTCGATAAAGAGGTTCGGCTTAATTCCAACATAGTGCAGCCTACCTTGGAATCCAGCAGACCCCCTGTCAAACCAAAAAAATCGAGTGCCAACAAAAGTAAGGTGATCGCAGGAACAACGAAAGACATCCTCGAGGAAATTCGCGGGCTGATTCCAGGATATTCAAGTTTGCCTTATAGAACGCTAACCAATGTCCTCGCAGCGGTTGAGTCCGTGACTGGGCGGCTAGAGATTACTGACATAATTCGAGAGTTGCTAGTCAAAACGATTGAGTGCTGTCCTACAGACCTACCCGTTCTTCTCTATCTGCTGTGTGGTAAAATTGGTCCAGCTTATGAGGCTACCGAATTGGGGATTGGAGAGAAAAACATTGTGGACGCGCTGGTCAAAAGTCTGGGCTGCTCCGCCAGCTCTTTGAATCAGAAGGGTGAGGGTGCAGATGGAGATCTGGGCACAGCCGCCCAAAGGGCGAAGGCGAGCCAGCGGACACTCAATTTCGGAGCGAATCCCCCTCCCCTGACTTGCCAGCATGTTCTGCAAAGCTTCCGGGATATCGCCATGTGTTCTGGTGGAAGGTCGATGAACCAGAAAATTTCAATAATACGTAAGCTGCTCATGCGTTGCGGAAAGGAGGGAGATGAGGTCAAGTTTTTAGTTAGGGGCCTACAAACAAAGCTTCGTTGCCGCCTAGCCGAACCGACAGTGCTTACTGCACTTGCACAGTCTTTTGTTGAATCTCCAAGAGAAGAAGCACTGCTAGCTCGTTCAACCAAAAGCCGAAAGACAGACCACAACAAATCTCTCGACAAGGAAGATATTCATGGTCCTCATGAAAGCGAGCCCTCCAGAAATGATTTCTTGGTGCATGCATTAGCTGTATTGCGTCAGCCTACGGCGAACCGGGTACAAAAATGGGAAGCAGCGGAGGCGATAGTTAAACAGGCTTACAGCGAATGCCCCAATTACGATAGACTGATTGACGCGTTGATCTCAGCGCCGCTGACTGACGTTCTGCGAAGCTGTCGACTGTCACCGGGCGTGCCCGTCAAGCCAATGCTGGCCAAGCCGCAGGATTCATTTCAAGAGGTGTTGCGGCGCATGCAGGGCCTTCATTTCACAATGGAGTACAAATATGATGGTGAGAGAGCTCAGGTCCATCTCCTGCAGGACGGCTCGTTCAAGATCTTTTCACGTAATTCAGAGGACACCACGACCAAGTATCCAGACCTTCTACCTATCCTCCGGGAAGCGCTTCAACCCACAACAACATCCTTCGTCATCGATGCAGAGGCTGTGGCTGTGGACCCTGTGTCGGGCAAGCTTCTGCCGTTTCAGGTTCTCAGTACGCGGAAACGGAAAAACGAGAAGGCTGAGGACGTCAAGGTCCAGGTGGTGCTCTTCGTGTTCGATATTCTCTACCTTAACGATCGGCCAATTCTTCACGAGCCTCTAATACAACGTCGGGCGCTACTCCGAAGGGCTTTTAACTCAATTCCTGGAAAATTTGACTTCGCAATTTCTCTAGACCATCACGAGAACGGAGACACATCACCTATTGAGGCATTCCTCGATGAGGCCATTGCCGGAAATTGCGAGGGACTCATGGTCAAAACTTTAGAGCAAAATGCTACCTACGAGCCAACTAAGCGGTCTCTTAATTGGCTGAAACTCAAAAAGGACTATCTTTCAAGTAATGCGGGGCCCGGGGGACGAGGACCCGCAGACTCGCTTGATCTGGTGGTATTAGGTGCCAACCATGGGCAAGGAAAGCGAGCGGGGTGGTATGGGGCTTTCTTGTTAGCGTGCTATGACCAAGAAGCGGAAGAGTACCAGTCTGTGTGCAAAATTGGGACCGGCTTCTCGGAAGAATTTCTGGCTGCGGCAAAGCCCCAATTGGACTTTCTTATCTTGTCCTCAGGCAAGCCAGACTATTATAACACCAGTTTAGAGTGCGATGTTTGGTTTGATCCCAAGATTGTCTGGGAGGTCCGAGCTGCGGACCTTAGTTTATCGCCAGCGCACAAGGGTGCGATAGATAAAGTGGAAAAAGGAAAAGGAATTGCTCTTCGCTTTCCACGATTCATCCGGGAGCGTGCTGACAAGGCTTCAGAGGATGCGACCAGCTCGGAACAGATAGCAGACGCCTACCGCAGCCAAGCCCTTGTCGAGGCGACCTTGTCGGCCGGAAGAAGCAAGTTTGGGCAAGAAGAGGACGACTGGTGCATCTAGGCAGGGCACTCATAACAGAAACAGTGGCATATCCAAAGCAAGAGAAGACAAGGCGCAGAGAAAAGCATTGAGAGAACTTGCTGATGAGAGTCCACGTGACCTTGCCCAACTCTTCATATAAACAGAGCATACCACGACTGACTGACGCGTCTGTCGTATTGAGGAAGACACCCTGACTACCGGAGAAAAATCTGCTCTAGTGATAAATTTTCGTCCGCTTATTAATGATGCCCTATCTTTTTTTATAAGGGAAAAAGCATCTGACTCATTCACTGAGACAAGCTGTGAGACAGTTGAATGGCACCGATAGTATTTTTTCCTTCATGACTTCTTTTACCAGAGTTGTGGAACGTCTGAATCCCTTCCTTTAATTTAATGTATAAATGCAACTAGACTGTTTCTATCCGGGTATGCGAGCTATGCCTGCAAATATTTTTTTGCACTTTTTCGCTCTTTCGGCCCAAATTCTGAAGAACACTCGAAGTTTTCCCCCTATCTTCAACAAGATAGACCTTCGAATTCGCTTGCCAGTTTCTCGTCCTCCAAGTCACCGCCTCTCAACAATTCCAAGTTTAGACTTGCACTCCGCACCATTTCATCGACACCTTTAACACCAATTTCACGCTTGGCTTCTTTTATGACCGTCATGGCGAAAGGAAAGGCAACCCCATCTTTTACCATTTGCTCTGGCAAGTCCTGTAGGAATGAGAGGGAGAGAACGTCGCCATTTATTAGGCGGACGACGATCTTAGCCATCCATTCGTCGACTTTGGGTATATCAACTTTCGTGTCCGCTAGAGACTCTAAAATTCCGTACAATGCTTGCTCCACTGGAGCAGGAGGCAACAGTTCGGCTTTGCGCATGATCACCAATAGGTCAGCAAGATGGGCTCGATGATCGTCTCTGCTTCGCTGAAAACCGGCGTCCAACCAGGCAGCTACAAGTTGAGATATTTTGTCTGGATCCTCTAATGTCATTTCTCCCATGGCTTCAATAGCATCTGCTTCATCTTGAGTCTCCCAATAATCCGCCAGAATGGACTTCCCCTTGCGCAAAAATGCTTTATGATCGTTTGGTGGTAGTTTGCTACTTGACGCTTCGGGTGATATATCCACCGCTGAAGACGGGCGAGGGCTGCCAGCAAGTTCCCCGTCTTTTCCACCTGACTTGACTTCAATACCTGCACGCTTAGCTGAATCTGTTTGTGCAGTACTGGTCCTCCTCTCCTTCCTCTGTTCTTTATTGTCCTTGTCCCTTTTGTCCTTGTGTTCCTTCTTCTTTCGCTTCTCCTCCGTTAGGACCGAGAATGCGCCGAAACTAGCACTGCTTCCCTGCTTTCTCATACCACCCATCGTGCCATCAAGACTGTTGTTCGACGCAGAACGTCCGAGGCTTTGTTTACTTCCTGACTTGCTGATCGTTTTCTTGGGACCCACTGTTTCCCAACCATCTTCATCTACTATGGAGGGCGATGTCAGGCTCGCTGATGACGACTGACGGCTCGTTTCACTAAATCCTTTCTCCCTGCGCGTATCCTGAGCCCCGGATCCCATAGGTCGACCTCCTCCTCCACTGTTGCCTGTCATTTTCCCACTACCCATGCTCTTGGGAGCAGAGCTTTGGCCTTTGGCGAGTGCCTCCCGAGCAGCCTCTTCATGAACTTGAGAAAGAGTCTTGGCCGTTTCGACAACGCGTCGCGGCACGTAATTATTTTGTCGAAGCTCGAACAAATCTTTCAGAAGACACCGGATTCGCGAGCTCAAGACCCCGACAGATTGCGAAAGTTTGTAAACTTCTTCGAAATACTTGTTGAGGAGCCGGCGCTGTTTTTTTGATGTCTCCGCGTTAACCTCGGCCAAAAGTTCAAGCTTTTTCCCTGTTGTACTCAGTAGTTTGCATAGGCAAGCGAGCTTCTCTTCATCGGGATTATCCTCCTCTCCGAATAGATCTTTGATGCAGCCGTGCACATGCTCTTCTTTCAATAATTCCTTCAGGAAGAGCTCACCGATGAAACGCATGTGGCCTAAGTACCGAAACTTGGCCATGCGTTTCTTCTCCTCCCGCTCTTCTTTCCCCAGCGCAGCTGTACTGGGATCTGTGTCGACCTTACAAATCCGCGTGTTCAGATCTTCATTGAACTCCTCTTGACAGCGCGTCAGCAAAATTTTTCGAAAAAGCTTGCCCTTGTCTGTCTCCCCAAGCCCCGCCAGCGGAGTCCGAGATAATCGCAAACAGAGCTCTGCATACATAGAAGAGAAGTGCACCTCTTCCTGTGCCTTGGCAACAATGATATCGATTGCCTGCCACAATAGAGCATCTGAAGTGAACCCTACATTGACAAACTCCGCGCTCAATTTGTCAAATTTCTCCATCGACAGTTTGTTCAGTAAGGCTCGTGCCCGTTTGATTTTCTTCTCAGGATCATCGGGGTCGACCCCCCCCATCCGTCGCATGGCTATTGACTCCGGGCGCCACCGACGTCCTTCTTCGATGCGCTTTGGGCCGTAAAGATCGTCCTCCAACGGCGGCGAGGCTTTCCGGTAGTTACCGCCCCCCCCTCGAACTCCCAGGCTCCCCTTTAAGCCTCCTCGACGATCGCGACTGCTCTGTCGGACGAATGCTGAAGATTCTATTTCCGTACGCGGAGTACTACGTCCGCTACTCCCGCTCCCATTCCCACCCGGACCATCGAATCCCGTGCTGCTGCGAGGCCGAGGGAGGCCATCAGGGACTTTGGGGGTGCGCGCACGCTGAGGCTGGGGGGTCTCCAGGGTGGTACTCGGCGCCAGGGTAGGCGTTATAGGTGATGCCCCAGGCGGTTCCGAATTAAGGATTTCTGCGGGGACGTGACTGTCCACAGGCTTGACGGGCGGCTTCCCCAAAGATCCCGCCTCCACCACAGTCCTGCGGATACGAAGCAAGTCCCTGGCGTAGTATTGTCGCACCCCTGCCACCAATGGGGAGTCAGGGATTGCCGGGTGTGACTCCCGCTCCCAATCTTCTTCGCTAATTGCTCTATGGGCATTCAGCGGTACAGGTGCCGCCACGGCGACCGCACTCCCACCGAAAAGGCTGCTGCTCGTGGGGGTGCTGGGCCGCTCGGCTCTCTTCCACGAAGACGAGGCCGACGAGGAGCCACTCACCTCTCGATCCGGGCTCACAGACAAGCTCTCCGTCGGTTGAGGCTGAACCAGTGCCCGCGGAGCGGGTGTTGCCACATTGTCGGCGCCCTGACCACAATGCGGCGCCGTGGCGATGTCTGTGTCTTCAGCGTCCGTCTTGGCGACGGAGACTACATTCATCTCCACACTTGGCGTGCCGTTGCTCATTGTAGAGGTGCGTGTTCCTTTAAGCCGAGGCGGGGTTGGGCGAGTACCCCCCTCCGGTCCAGTGACGGCCTGGCGGTTGTGTCTTGCTCGGGTCTCCGGTGCCGGGACGGGCCTGGCTTCCGGGTGCTGGTGGGGAGGGTATTGTCTACCACCGGCTAGTGGAGGGCCTCCCGGCGGCGTACTTCCATCCTTGGGCCCAAGCCTCTCCTCATAACGCGGCGAAGGGAGAGAGAGCTGTTGGTGACGATCGGCTTGACGAGGGGGGGGAAGCGAAGCCGCGATGGGGGGGGGGGCACGTGCCGTCGCGGATGGTTTGCCAGCTCCCAAGGGTGCAACTGCGGGGCCCCGCGGAAGTGCGGGTGCCTCTGTCTTCTGTGCGCGGACTGGGGCAGCTGCTTTGGGCCCAGTGGGCGGGGCGGGCGCTTTGAAGGCGCTCTTTGGGACGAAGACGTGGGCGTCCGGCCGCAGCTTCATAGGTTTGAAGGCGGGCGCTGCCGCGCTTAGGGACTTTTTGTGCGTGTCGACGCCCACGGGTAGAGGCTCTGCACGCAAAATCGATGCCAAAGCTTTCATGCTGTTGTCCCTACCATTTGCACTCGCCACTCGCGATATGCCATCCGCCGCACTCGCGCCTTCGGTTGTACTCATTCGTAGGACGGAGCACAACGCACGCTGACACAAAGTGTGGAAGAATTCTGTCCTCTTGACGCAGAAAGCTATGGAGTCTGAGGGAGAATTCTGCGTCTGCAGTCTAGCAAAGGCTTCGCCGGGCGGAGAAATGTTATCTGCCCTGGTTCCTTACCCTCCGGAGAACAAACTACAACCTCCGAGATCTACTGGGTGGAATTAAAGTTGCACCCCTCTTTGTAATGACACGTGGTGAACTCGCTGGCTGAGAGGTACGAACGTCGCGCGCACTGCTCAAAGATCAAAGAGGACCAATGACAGCGTTCCAGGTTTTGCGTTCCGTCTTGTCGACTGCCCCCTCCTCTTCCTGGCAGGCTGACAGGCGACGTCAGATCGGACTCAATTTCTGCTTTTCGATCGTGATTGTAACTTAAAGGGAAACCCACGAGTTCTGTGCAATACGCGGGAAAAAAGAACGTTTAAAGTCAGACGCGTGCGTGTAACTTGTCAGCTTGTGTTTGAAAAGAAAGATAGCCTTATCCTGGCAGGGTGAGCCCTGATTGCACAACTGGTTCCGTTGCAGATTTCTCACCATAACATCTTTAGTCATGAATGCATGTAAGACATTCAAATGCGTGTGAGAGCATAAAATATAAGTGCGCCTTTTACTCAAAATTTCTCGGTTTGTGCTTCTCAGTGGCCACAGGAGGTGGGATGCGACAAAAGGTGCGACCCATTCAGAGAATGTGGAATGACAATCGTTATAAGATGAGTGCTGAGTTATTTATGAGTATGGTTAGTTCGGAGAGAATGCATGCCCTATCTTCGCCCTAAATAGCCCGCATTGAGGCGGTTCTCCGAGCGCCAAGAAGTGAGGGGGAGTGGTGGCACCCGGCTGGGCCGGAGACGGACGACGAGATGGTGGGTGGACGGATCATCTTTTGGCCGAAATCAAAGTTATTTAGAACGCACATGATTCTGTGGACATTCCCAAGGGGTTATTCAAGCTATTGTTTACAAAAATCCACATTTGTGGGATTTCCTTACGATACCTCTCCCAGCTCTAGGTGCTGCTTTACCACTACGCGGGCAGGTTGCGAGTTGCTTGCTCGCCTCCCTCGTTCGATCCGAGCCGCCCAGGGTACCTCTAGTGCAGGAAGATGAAGCGTTTTTTTTTCGATAGCAAGACAGTAATTGGCACAGAACACGCTTCCACGGCTTTCCTTGAAGGATGAAGCTGCCCCTTCCAGCAACATAAGGGGGAAAACTTTGAAGGAGGGACTGTAGAAAATATTTGACTCTATCGAGATACCACCGCTTGTCAGAGCGACGCTCGCTATCGCACACTACCATATTTTTTTTCTATACTCTTGGGCACACATGCACGACCTTGCATGCCTAACATATATTTATAGACCGTGAAGACTTCATGAGAGGAGCGTTCAGAAAAGAAAGAGAAATAGGGGGCGCGACACCATGGCCACGTCCTCTTGCGATGAGCCCGAGTGCGGTGGGCCTGTAAGAACCAGTGGTCGTCTCCGTCAGAGCAAGCCAGCAGCATGCTCCTTGAGGGCGAAGAAGATAATAAGGGAAGGCGTTGTGCATTCCCGGGTAAACTCGGCGGTCCGAGTTCGAAGATACAGAAATAAGCTCTGCTCGATGTCTCTCTTGCGAGAGCTTACTTACTTCTTTCGCGCAACGCGCAAGAGTGCCGCCAAGAGAGCCAGGGAGTCCGAAGGCATTTCATCAGAGTCCCATACTCTTGTACCAACGCCTTTTATTAACGAAAGGGATGATATTCCTGAGATGATAGTAGCTGCAGGGGAGGAAAAACATCAGAGAAGGGCCGGAGGCTCAAGGTAACAAGGTACACCCTCTCAGAGGCTTCCGCTGGGCGGCCCATCGCCTTCGGCTCGGGGGCCGCGAATCGCGTTCTTCTACTGATTCCTTTTGTGAACCATCATTCTGACGCCTACAACAGGCATTACTGTTTGACAGAAGTCGTGAATTTCCTATTAATCCTTTCGAGGACATCATTTTCGCTCCTGCGTCAGAGGGTACCTTTCGACACACCCTGCCCCTGGCTCCTCGTGTCTGCCCAACAGCCTTCCAGGGTATTTAAAAAGGTTTTACATTACAAACGCATTATCTACATACAGCAGAAGCTCTTTGGTTCCATGTGTTACACGGTGTCGGGATACATCCCGAGCTTTGGAATAGCGCGCTTCGCCCGTGTCCGGCGCCTACCACCCAGTCGGTAACCTCCTCTCGCTCTATCCTTCCACTATCTACACTGCATTTCGCGATGAATTGCGTGACATTTTTCAGCTGGAATGTTGCAGCACTTCGATCTCTAGATAAAGGCTCGGGTATCTCGTCGAATGCGGCGTCTAAGAATGACTGGCTTGGATGTAAGCTCGCGGCCTTGGGTTCACCCACATTTGTCTGCCTGCAGGAGACGAAAATATCGCGGGATATGTTGACCGAGGACGTGGCAACGCTCAAGCATTATCACGCCTTTTTTGCCCACACACATCGGGGTGTGGCACAAGGAGGAGCGTACGCTGGTGTGGTCACGTACGTGAGCAAGCATGTCGGGGTGCATGCGGCCTCGGCGGGTTTGGTGTGCTGTGCTTATGAACGCCGGAAGGGCCTGAATGACATCCCGAGCACAGTGGCTGGCAAAGCTTGCCCATTTGAATGCGGAATTTTTCGACGCATTTTTGAGGAGATAGTCCACGAGTCAGACAATTTTGAGGCCGAGCCGGTCAAGGCTGAACAAAAGAGAAGTGCAGAAGCCAGACGGAGCGATGGGGGAGACGCAGGCGAGGAAGAGGACTACGAAGGATGTATTTCGTCAGCTGAAGGAATTCTCAATATGATTCAGCCCGAAGATATACTACGCAAAATAGACACAGAGGGACGTGTGGTCATGACGGACCACGGTCATTTTTTGCTTCTGAACGTGTACGCCCCGTTCAATGGCAGGCCGGGTCGCGCTCGCTTCAAAAAAGCATTCAATGCTGCTCTTTTGGCTCGTATTATCGCATTCACGGTATCGGGACGCGAAGTGGTGCTTTGTGGGGACCTGAACGCTATCGCGGACGCAAAAGACTCGGTCGAGCGTCCCTCGGAGGAAGAGCTTGCGGCTGCTCCATGGGCCCGGTGGATGCGCACGCTGCTTGGATCGCGCCAAGCTGCCCTAGAACAAGCAAAGGGGGGGGGTAAAAGTAAGGACTCGCGGTGGGAGTGGCTTCCGAATGAATGCATGAATTGGGAGTCTGCCCCGAGCTGGCCGCTTCTGGTGGACACGTTTCGCGAGCTGCACCCTTTCCGGACCGACGCGTTCTCCTGCTGGTGCAATCAGACGGCAGCGCGTCACACAAATTATGGGCGGCGTATAGACTACATTCTTGCGTCACCGGGTCTGTGCGGCTACGCAGAGGGTCCCGGTATCGTCGCCCACTTGGAGGAGGCGGCCGTCAGACAGGAGGTGCGCGGCAGCGATCATTGTCCGGTGACTGCGCGCTTCTCTTTCTCAAAGCTTACAGATGGGTCATATCTTTCTTTGCCCTCTCCTTTTTCGGAGCGCGGTAGCGGACGCATTCTTCTCCCCCCGCTTTGCACGGGTAACTACCCCGAATTTCGAGCCCGACAGGCCGGCATTCACACATTTCTTCTGAAGCCATCGCTCAAAGTGGCCACCACTCCCTATCCCAGTGGTTGTGTTGACCAAAGTTTCAGCAACGATTTCCTGCACGAAAAGCTTAAGGTTTGCGATCCGCTATCTCCGTCAGCTCCCTCGCTTCATGCAAGCCACGAGGCTAGGGCTCGGCAGGGAGGCATGCAAGGCTCTATGGTGAAGTGCGCACGCACCAGCACAATTGGGAGGAAGCGCACCAAATCCAAATCTTCTGCAGCTCAGGTGCCGACCAAATCACAGATGACTCTGACTCATTATGGCATTGCCAGCACCAGAGCCAAAGGGGGGGATGAGAGCCGTGAAGCGACGGAGGAAAAGATGACCACTGGGACGTCCGCCTCCTTTGTTTCTTCGAAAGCATTAGCGCGTGAGCAACACTCATCTACTTTGTATGCTACCAAATCATCTTCTCTATCTTCATCTACCATGTCGGCTCCCCAGCCCGGTGTCATGCTGGAAGCCACACGACGAGAGGTCTTTTTGAGTGCCTTCCGATCCCAGAGGGACAACACCCCACGATGTCAGGGTCATAATGAGCCCATGGTCCGACGACATGTCAAAAAGGCAGATAGTGGCAACCTTGGAAGGTATTTTTTCTGTTGTGCACGGCCTGTCGGCACAGATGGAGACAAAGAAGCGCGTTGCAGAGATTTTCTATGGGAAGACAGTTTAGCAATGGGAGCAGGATTCCGGCGTGTCCGCGGTCTGGTGAAAAAAGAGAAACCTAGCAAGACGGGCGATGTGTAACCAGGTCTTTGAAGTGCTTGTGGCACGCTAGATGAAACAAGCATCAAGAACGAGAAGTACACATCCGTGGCTTGACAGAAGAGTATCGCCTTGAACAAGGATTTTAAAATGTGCATTTTTTCGGTACGCAAAAATAAAACGCAAATAGCGAAATCTAAACTGTGCTGGTCAACTCCGTGTTTCAGGCTGGAGGTTGCTCCCTAATCACGGCCGTGCCATACTGCGACCCTCCTTAAAATATCACGCAAGCGAGGAGGAGGTTGTCGCCTTCCCGGCCCCGCGCGCAGGGCAGCACCAGGTACAAAATCGTGTCATGGCAGGTTTCTATCACCTCCCCCCGCTCCTGCCCTCGCCCTGCTGCTTCTTTCTCGTAGTTTAGCTTCATTTTAATATTTTAAAACATACACTGTCCCCTATTTGAAGTTCCCACTTTTGTATTCAAAGGTGGACAGCCCGCTCAGATGTCACTATGGTTGACGCCACCAATGGGCCTTTCGGAATGGCTTGTCGGTGCCAAAGAATGCGCTGCAAATGCAGCACGGAGTTGGCAGGATGGTTTATACAAGCAGTATTTGCCTGAAAGTCACTGGATGGCACTCATAGTAATCTTAGCCGTCCTACTTTTGCCCTTAATCCTGAACATCTGGGGATGGATGCTTTGGATTCTTCTCTCGATCTTCCTGGGACTTTCCCGTACCGTTTACTCCATTTTCACGGTGTTACATGTGTTGATGGACGTGTGGGCGCTTTCAGTGATGAAAACGTGCTACACAATTTACCGCTTTCTCGCGGCGTTCCTTCTTCCTCCGGCTGCGGCCTCCACACGTCAACGCCTACTGACTGCCCGCAATGTGACTCAATATCAAACCTTGGCCGAGCAAGTGGACGCTGAAGATGGCATGTTGAGCTGGCGTGCAGATGATTCTGATCTTCCGCAGTCGGTTACTATCAAAAGTACGATCGCCAAGTTGGAAGAAAGTTTACAGGCCAAAGACACGAGCAAGCTCCAGTTTATCCTCTTGAACGGTCTACTGAAAAGGAATCACCTCGGCATTGACGAAAGGGTGAGACTATGCGTATGCCTTACCACAACATATGAAAAATGAGGCCATGCTTGAGATATGTGCATACCCTAGAAGTGTCAGCGTGAGTCCTCATTCTCGATTTTCCATTTCGGTCGTGCCTCCTTCCCTTTCCAAGGATCTGCATATTCGGGCGTTGAGCGGATCGAAGCTTCTGGTAGAGCGGTATGATAAGAAGGTGGTGGAATGCATCAAATATATCACTGAATGTCAAGAGCTAACGCGGGAGGAGAAAGTAATGTTTGTAAAGAAAGCCCGTAGGGCGCTAGGACAGACGGCGCTCATGCTCTCAGGAGGGGGCAGCATAAGCATGTACCATGCAGGTAAATTCTATTCAAGTAGCCGAATGGGCGCAGACCTTCATTGTGACCTTTCTTTGCCTTTTGAGTGGGAGGGGGAAATCTTGGAGCGATCCTTGGGTAACACAGAGCCCTACAACGGTAGGACCTGGCCCTTTCACCAACACAGTCGCAGACCTACAGATGGTGTGCCGGGGGGACGCTCCGAACGTTACCCTACTTGCATTGCATGAAAGTAAGCATACGCCCAGCTCAAAAGTGAGAGTGAAGAATATAAGGATCTCTTCCTTTCCTTCGTCCCCTGGAACAGGTGTCGTCCGCGCTTTGATTACGGAAGGCCTCTACAGGCATATCCGCGTCATTTCGGGCGCTTCCGGTGGATCCATCATTGCGGGGATGGCAGCGATCCACAATGAGAAGGAGCTCATGGATAGAGTGCTCGTGAAAGAGGTTTCCACCGACTTCAAACACAACGGCGAGATGCGACAGAAAAAGATTGTCTGGTTCCCTCCCCTCTTCGAGCAAGCCAAGCATTTCATCAAAAATGGAATCTTGATTGACAACAAAGAATTCCAACGGACATGCGAATTTTACTATGGTTCCTTCACCTTTCAAGAGGCCTTTGAGCGGACTCACAAGCATGTGTGTATTTCAGTCGCTGCTTCCACTTTGGGGGCGAGCAGTCAGGGAGGCCCCCGCCGTCTCCTTCTCAACCACATCACGACGCCCAACGTCCTGATTCGCAGTGCCGTTGCCGCTTCCTGTGCTTTGCCAGGCATCATGGCACCGAACTATTTGCAGTGCAAAGACGATCGGGGCCACGTGGTCCCCTTCGATATGGACGGTGTGCAGTACGTCGACGGCTCTCTGCAGGCCGACTTGCCTTTTCGACGAATTTCAACCCTCTTTGCCGTCTCACATTTTATCGTCAGCCAAGTTAATTTTCACGTCGTGCCATTTCTAAGAAAAATGCACAGTCCTGCTGAAAGCTCCTTATACTGGAAGCTTTTCCGCTTTTTCGACACGGACATCCGCCACCGCGTTACTTCTTTGGCTGAGCTAGGGCTTCTGCCGCGTGTCTTTGGACAGGTGAGCGCGGCTTATATCTTTGTCCGAGTACACATCTCTTCAAGTCATTCAGCGGTGATGATTTCGTAACCAGTTGATCATCACATTTGTGAATAAATGGATAGAAAAGTGGCATCCGTGCGCGTTTAACAGATCGATTTAACGCGCATGACATTTATCAAACGCATTTTCTTTCGATGAAAATATCTTGAAGCCATATAATCAGTGCTTAAAGTCCAATTTACTGATATCTCAGGATTTATCGGGCATTTTTCGGCAAAGATACTCGGGTCATGTGACCTTGACCCCCAGATTTCGCATGTCGGAAATGATTGGCCTCAAAGCGTTCCAGGTAAAGTCTTAGAAGTGACTTCAATCACCTATGAGCAAGCATGGATCACATGTTCGCATTGGCTGACGCATCTGACCTCGATCTTTTCCCCCAAGAATCCGACCGAAGCGGAGATGCGACACTACATCTTGAATGGCAAGCGGTCTGTTTGGCCGCACCTTCACCACATCAAGCACAACACATTGGTGGAAAGGGTCCTTTCGGATTCTCTCAGTAAGCTCCGTCGTCAATCCTATTACTTGGCCCTTGGCCAGCCGCACGCTGATAATAGCCCGGCAAGCTTGTCCCTCCAGTGTGCCGTCCCCAGCGGCGGAGGCTCCAACGTGACGGGCGTCAATCCCCTTTCAGGCATGGCCACGTGCGGGACCTGCTCGCCTCGGGTCGATACCAACTTTGCAAGCATGCTTCCCCCTCTGCCACCCACCAGCAATGCCATCAGCCGCTGCAGTACCCCGCGCCGGTATCGCGATGAAGGAATTTTATCCACACCCCTCCTAGTCACGGCTGGTGCTACTTTGCGGAGGAGCGACTCAGGTCGCTTCGAGGACGATGACTCCGACATGCTCGAGCCCTCTGGAACGCCTTCCTCCTCTGCCTGTGCCGCAACAGATACTCCTGCGAACGGAGGGGGCACAGGAAGTACTGAGAATCAGCGGTTTGTGAGAAGTCCCGGACGCCAACATTTTAGGATTCAGCAGCTTCAGGCTGAAAATCGTGCATTAAGGGAACGGGTGCGTCTCCTTCAACAGAGCATGGAAGCCCTTAAGAAAGCCGAATCCGGCCTATATGACCATGAAAATTTAGCCACCAGGCAAGAAAGCATCAAGGCCGGAAATCACAGTAACCGATCTTCTCTGCAATCTGGCTTGAGCTACAGTGTTGCTTCGAGTGGCAGTTATTCTGATCAAAGAGATTGCGAAACACCGAAAGCCGCCTTGCACATCTCTGATACTGTTGGCTTCGAAGAGACAGGTCCCGAAGGGCCACCGGTCGTGGTAAAAAGTATTCCTTTAGTAGAATAAAAAGTCAAGTTACAGGACAGGTTGTACAAAGTCAAGTTTCCTCATGCATTTGCGCTGTATTTTTGTATCCATGACTACACAAAGAATGATAAAGTACAATCACAGAATTTTATAACTTTGTTGTCCGGGACTATCTCTTCATGTCATGGAAAAGAAGTCGTCTCTACTGAGCTTTTCTGATTTGCTATTACGAAATAAGTACTTGACAGGCCTCTTTCAGTTTGCTGCCGTGTGCCTCCATTTTTTTTCCCATTTTCAATTTATGAAAGTCTTATTCCACACCTAACCAGCGCCCCAATTAGGTTTCCAAAGTTTAAGCGCGGGAAGGCTGGCACTTCTCGTACTTTTCAGCCCTCGCTCTGTCGCCTTTCTTCCTCTTCGCCCTCTCAGCCTCCACTTCTCATCCGGTCGGAGCCCCAAAAAACTCGAGAGGCTGGTGGGATTTTATGACGTACTTGACTATTTGATGGCAACCATTTGCCAGGGGCAACCATGTGCCAGGGATGTCAACCGGTATCATCGAGTTCACGGATGTGACATGCGCTAGGATGCCTCGTTGCGCGCTGTCCCTGTCACATTGGCAAGACCTAAAGGGGCATTATCGTCGATCATGGTCGTCGGGGAATCCTCCGAGACAGCTATCTGCGAAGGCCTCGCAGAACCACACATCACTTTGAAGCCATCCATGATGTGTAAGACAGACCGGGTGTCTGTCAGGCAAGGCACTTATTTTATGACCTCACTGTAGAGCTGACATCCTGTTTATCGCGCTCTGTTTGTGAATCTCTGTGTCTTACTCAGTGTGATTCCCACAAGGGCAAGCGCGTCGAGCGAACGTCGTTGTGATAGACGCTTCACACAGCTAGTGTGAGCTCACCGCTTGCGACTTTTTCAGATCCTTTTCAAAAGTGATACATGTTCAAGGGCCATTTTCTTGATTCTTGCTGGACCTGATGTGGAGTCCTGAGGCAAAAGAGTGAACAGCCTCACTCTGGCTCACGTGCTCTCTCGTTTCTCCTCCACCATCAATCCTCTCTCTTCGGCCCCGGCATCTGAGAAGGGAAGGAGCCTAGTGGGGGCCTTTTTTCTGTCCTCGCGTTTCAAGCACTTTAGAAGCAAAATTGAGGATTTGGAAGCACATTTTGAGTTTACATCATGAGTACACTGAGCATTCACTCGGCGCCCTCTCTCGGCATGGAGAAGCTCTGGGATAATTACGCACCGGCGGAGCGTGGGGAAGGCGCAGGCTGCGAGGAGGCTGGCGGCAGCGCGACCTTCATGGTGGAAGACGGAGGTATAATATCCTACGCTGGCATTTTTTTGGACGATAAAGAGGACTCAGACGAT